AAATCCAAATATTCTAATTTACAATTAAAATACACTAAAAGAGTTTAAAAACAGCAGTTCTTTACGAGCATAATCCATATAGATTTGGCAAGTGGGCAATGCAAACATAATCTTTGTTTCCATTAAGAAACAACACTTTTTCACAAATGTTTTCAACAAGGATCACTTTCTCTTGGGTGGCTCTCTTCTCAACTCGAATGAGATGGTGAACTTCACCATGTACATATGGACTGTCTTCAAGGATATGAAGAGGATGAACAACAGCAAGACATTTCTTAGTTGCATGGTGGAGAATAAAAAACTGAATTGCTGCAAGATTTATTACAGAGGCTTCAGGGTCTGTTGTAACAACATATGCAATCCTCTTTTTCATGCGACTGTAATGTTCACTATAAAACACCACATCTTCACGAACAATCCTGATTGCTTTTTAAAGCCTCTCTAATCACCTTCAACATCCAACAATGCACGAATATCATTTTCTAGATTCTCAATAGAAATGACTGTGACCCCCCCCCCCCCCCAGCTATTTGGCAATTCTCTGCTCTTTGTTTGATGGTAACTGTCTTCCTACTAGAATGCATCATGTCTTCCACAAAAGTTTTGAAACTAGGATTTGATATGTGTGAGGCATCCACAGAAAGTCATTTTTGGGCTTGCACCATCCACATTTTTTGCAAGCAAACATCCCCTGTACCATGAATAGAATCCAGGATGAAGTCATTCATGTCTTCAAATTGAAAACAGGACCATGCCCACAATGGTCCAAACTTTTGAACATAGGTTGTTAGATGACAGCCAACATTATGTACATTAAAGGTGCAATTGTTTGTACCATATAAAACTGCAAATTCCCTGTAAAACTCGGCAAGGACATAGTCAGCTCTGTCCAAATCTCGGTCTGTTATCTTGTCTGATAGAAGAAGATAGCTACCTTCTACAAGGAGTCCCAAGTGTTGCAGGTATTCCCGAGGTAGAAAGTTGATTAGAGATGGTATTGAATAATAAAGCAGCCACATTTGTAGTTCAGAAGCTTTAAAATGATGAAGATTTTTCTCAGCTTTTCTGGGTAAGTGAGAAATTTGATCCGTTGGTTTCATATTTTTTAAAATTTTGTCTTTACTTTTGATGTTTTTGCCAACAAAGTATGGTTTGCTAGAATTTGACGGCGAAAACAGAAGAGTAAAGTAAGTTTTTGGTCACTCCAAGTAGCAAACTGTGCATGTAATCAGGCACCATTCAATGCACCATGTCAAACCAATCTAATCCAAGTAAGGGGGATACTCCTTTAATACCCACTGACTCAGTAAGATTCACTGGCTTTACTTTGTTACTTTGTTTCTGAAGGCAAAAAATCATGAAGAATGAAAATAATCGTTTGACAAACTATTCCCTTGAAAAAATAATTATTTTAAATGAGTAGATCATTAGGACAAACATTTTCAAAAGGTCATTTATCCTATTATCTTGTGCATCAACACATCTTAATGTCCAGCACATTTTCTACAAATTCTAACATTCATGTAGGAATTATCATTTCTATAAATATTACACCTTACCTTTCTTGTGCTTCTTTGTAAAGCTTCCAGGGCTTTTCCAACTGGTCAATTCTAGCCTGATGATACCTGACCAGAGAACAAAATTAATGCTATGGCACTTAGTGGTGGCACAAGGATCATCAGGGTAGAGAGTGCTGAATGTACTTCTCATATATTGAGATGTGCAGTTATCGTATAGTGGCATGGGCCATATCGACCCATGGGGGTACGACTCCTGCACACAACCTGTTGAAAAAATATTATAAATGTAGCATGATTATAATGGTTAAATATGGACTCAGGCTAATGTCAGATAGGAAATGAAAAACACTGTGACCATAGGTTTTACCATAAGAAGCATACATTCATTTATATTTTGCACAAGTTATTTTACAGTTGAAAAAAAAGAGACCTAATACAAAGAAATGGTAATGTTTTTATAGCACAAAAATAACCTGTATAATTTATGTGTTTTATTTTTTGCCGATCAAAAAATGATTGCAATAGCTCAACGCGAAAAAAATAAAACAGATATACATTATAAGAGACAGACACACACTAAAACTGGTTGACAAAGTTGAAATTGAAAAGTTTCTTACCAGCTGTCATCCCTAGCCTACTCATAGTACGAAATGTTTCATCTGTAAAAAGAAAATGAATTGTAGTTTAATATGTATTAACTAGAAAAATGGTGAAAGATAAAATTAAGGATGCTTATTATTTTTAATGTAATTGTACCTGTGTATGCTGCCATTGTCAAACTTCCACTGGGTGCAACTGATGCAGTGCTTGTTCTTGAGCCAAATGCTGGGAAACTTTTCACCTCTGTAAACAGAAAAAGGATTGATTAATATGCCTATTACGACGATCGAATATTTTATAAAACAGACTTTTCATAACTGTTAAATAATGAAGAGCACAAAGCTTCAAGCTCCTGTTCCAGCTGGTCAGCTCTAGCCTGATGATCCCTGACCAGAGAACAAGAGCTATGACCAAGAATCATCAGGGTACATGTAGAGAGAGCTAAAGGCACTTCTCATGAGAGGAGATGTGCAGGAGTTATCGTGGCATAGGTCATATATCGGACCTTGTATGACTCCTGCACACTCTTTGTTGAAAAAAATAACTGTAGTCATGATTATGGTGGTTAAATCATATAAAAAAAAAAAAGATTTACTGAAGTCTCAAATTTTATAATGACTGTCGTATCATTCACATAATGTCCTTTGATTGGCATTCAAGAGAAAATTTGGACATTACACTTGGTGCATCCAAACTTTGTTACACCTTTTCTTTGTCCTGGTGCTTCCCTAAAGAACATTCACGGCACACTTTGTTTTTAGGTCACCTGAGTCACTCAGGTGACCTATTGCTATCTGTTTTTGTCCGTCGTCGTCCGTCGTACGTCGTTATACGTCGTTCGTCGTCAATCGGTCGTAAACTTTTGAACATTTTCAGCTTCTTCTCTGCAACCACTGAACCAATTTCAACCAAATTTGGCACAAAGCATCTATGGGTAAAGGGGAACAAAAATTGTGAATTTCATGATCCCTGCCCCCCTGGGGCCTGGGGGGTGGGGCCAAAACCACTAAAATTAATGCAATCTTCAAAAATCTTCTTCTTTACTCCTGGACATCAAGCAGTCAAACTGTTTGCATGATTGTAATCAGCATTGAGTCCTTTACCAAAATTGTGAAATCCATGGCCCTGGGGTCAGGGGTTCTTGTACTAGGGCGGGGCTAAATAAGTATATAGTGAAAATGAATTATTTCTTTGAAAATCTTCTTCTCTGCTCCTGGGTATTAAATAAACTAACTAAGTACATAGTTATGATGAGCAAGAGTGCCTCTACCAAAATTGTGAATTTTATGGCCCCAGGGTCAGGGGTTCTGGTGTCAGGGCGGGGCTCTATTGATTATATAGAGGAAATACATGAATTCTTTGAAAATCTTCTTCTTTACTCCTGGGTATTAAATAAACTAACTAAGTATATAGTTATGACGAGCAAGAATGCCTCTACCAAAATTGTGAATTTTATGGCCCCAGGGTCAGGGGTTCTGGTGTTAGGGTGGGGCTCAATTCATTATGTAGTGAAAATACATGAATTCTTTGAAAATCTACTTCTCTGCTCCTAGATTTTATATAATTTAACTAAGTACATAGTTTTGATGAGCAAGAGTGCCTCTACCAAAATTGTGAATTTTATGGCCCTAGGGTCAGGGGTTCTGGTTTTAGGGCGGGGCTCTATTGATTATATAGTGAAAATACATGAATTCTTTGAAAATCTTCTTCTCTGCTCCTAGGTTTTATATAAACTAACTAAGTACAAAGTTATGATGAGCAAGAGTGCCTCTACCAAAATTGTGAATTTTATGGCCCCAGGGTCAGGGGTTCTGGTGTCAGGGTGGGGCTCTATTGATTATATAGAGGAAATACATGAATTCTTTGAAAATCTTCTTCTTTACTCCTGGGTATTAAATAAACTAACTAAGTACATAGTTATGATGAACAAGAGTGCCTCTGCCAAAATTGTGAATTTTATGGCCCCAGGGTCAGGGATTCTGGTGTTAGGGCGGGGCTGTATTGATTATACATGTATAGTGAAAAAACATTAAATCTTTGAATATTTTCTTCTTTGCTCCTAGGTTTTAAGCAGATGAATTACCTATATAGTTATGAGCAATCCCTAATCTTCAAGAATTGTAAATTTCAAGGCCCCAGGGTCAGTTGTACCATAGTGGGGGGGGGGGGCTGTACTTATGTACTGAAAATGAATGAATTGTTTGAAATGTGCTCCTTGGTATTAATCAAATATTTTTGAAAAGCAAGTATGCCTTTCCAAAAATAGTGCAATGTGTGGATCTAGGCCTAAGAGTCAAGGGTTCATGTGTGGTAGCGGCACTACTGATTATTGCTGAATATTACTGATTAGTTGAAATGCATTTTTTGTTCCCCTACCCTGCCTATGGGTATAAAGTAACCAAACTAAGGAACTGCTAAGTGTATAGTTATGATGACCAGATGGTAAATGCTATAGCATCTGGCTTAAAACATGGATCAAATTCAGTCACTGGGAAGTTGTTGAATAATGCTCAGGTGACCTATAAGGCCCAGGGGCCTCTTGTTCTCAAATAGTTTCACAATTGTATGCTCGGTTGCCCTGCCTGCAACATCAACTTTGGGTGGCTCTCTTGAAGAGCAAATTTCACTGATTAAATCCTCCACAACCTCCTCTAAAAAATCCTGAAAGTAGGGGCAACGATCCTTTGTTACTTCAGGATGAGTGTCTTTGGCAATTTATAAGAATTACGTGCCGAAACCATCATCATGTAGAAAAAAAGTCTACGCCATCATTTCTTTGATCGATGATGCAGCATGTAATAACCATGCTATCATTTGATCACAAGTGTCCACTCCCTTCATGTACTTCTGATAATCAGCAAGTTGGAGTGGAACCTCTACTATGTTGTCCTCAGCTGTCCTTCTCATCACCCATCCAGTGTGCTGTGGATCATGAAAGTTTGACAGGACTAGCACAGGTTTTGTGTCCTGCCAAAGAGAGAATGAAAGAACATCATTTTGAGCGACTCTGTACTCATGTTTTTATGCCCCCCTTCGAAGAAGGGAGGGCATATTGCTTTGCTGCTGTCTGTCGGTCGGTCTGTCGGTCCACTTAGTTTCCGTTCATTTTCTTCGCAACCCTTGCACATACTGAAATGAAATTTGGTATACAGATATATCACATGAATATCTAGGTCAAGTTCTGTTTTGGGTACAATCACACCTTATTTGACAGAGTTATGCCCCTTGGACTTAGAAAAATTACAATTATTTGCAGTTTCCGTTCATTTTCTTTGCAACCGTTGCACACATTGAGATGAAATTTGGTATACAGATTTATCAGATAAATATCTATTAAGCCAAGTTCTGTTCTGGGTAGGATCGCACCATTTTTGACAGAGTTATGCCCCTTGGACTTAGAAAAATTTCAATTATTTGCAGTTTCCGGTCATTTTCTTCACAACCATTGCACACACTGAAATGAAATTTTGGATACAGATATATCACATGAATATTTAGGTCAAGTTCTGTTTTGTGTATTATCCGCACCATTTTTGACAGAGTTATGCCCCTTGGACTTAGAAAAATTTCAATTATTTGCAGTTTCCATTCATTTTCTTCGCAAATGTTGCACATACTGAATTGAAATTTAGCGTACAGATTTATCAGAGGTATATCTAGACCAAGTTCTGTTCTGGGTACGATCGCACCATTTTTGACAGAGTTATGCCCCTTAGACTTAGAAAAATTCCAATTATTTGCAGTTTTCGTTCATTTTCTTTGTAGAGGTTGCACATACTGAGATGAAATTTGGTATACAGATTTATCAGATAAATATCTAGAGCAAGTTCTGTTTTGGGTACAATCGCACCATTTTTAGCTCACCTGAGCCGAAGGCTCAAGTGAGCTTTTCTGATCAAAATTTGTCCGTTGTCTGTTGTCGTCGTCGTCGTAAACTTTTCACATTTTCATCTTCTTCTCAAGAACCACTGGGCCAATTTCAAAACTTGGCACAAAGTATCCTTGGGTGAAGGGGATTCAAGTTTGTTCAAATGAAGGGCCACGCCCTCTTCCAAGGGGAGATAATCATGATTTAGAGAAAAATTATTGGCATTTTAAAAAAAATCTTCTCCTCAAGAACCACTGGGCCAGGAAAGATGAAACTCATGTGGAATCATCCTCAGGTAGTGTAGATTCAAGTTTGTTCAAGTCATGACCCCCGGGGGTAGGGCGGGGCCAAAATGGCCGATCAAAGTTCTACATAGGAATATATAGGAAAAATCTTTAAAAAACTTCTTCTCAAGAACCACTGGGCCAGGAAAGATGAAACTCATGTGGAATCATGCTCAGAAAGAACAGATTCAAGTTTGTTCAAGTCATGACCCCCGGGTGTAGGGCGGGGCCAAGATGGCCGATCAAAGTTTTACATAGGAATATATAGGAAAAATCTTTAAAAATCTTCTTCTCAAGAACCACTAGGCCAGAAAAGATGAAACTCATGTGGAATCATCCTCAGGTAGTGTAGATTCAAGTTTGTTCAAGTCATGACCCCCGGGTGTAGGGCGGGGCCAAGATGGCCGATCAAAATTTTACATAGGAATATATAGGAAAAATCTTTAAAAATCTTCTTCTCAAGAACCACTGGGCCAGGAAAGATGAAACTCATGTGGAATCATCCTCAGGTAGTGTAGATTCAAGTTTGTTCAAGTCATGACCCCGGGGTAAGGGTGTGGCCAAAATGGCCGATTAAAGTTTTACATAGAAATATATAGGGAAACCTTTTTAAATCTTCTTTTCAAGTACTTCAAAGCGAGGAATAGTAATATTTGTATGGAATCATCCTCAGGTAATGTAGATTCTAGTTCATTCAAATTATGATCCCCTTGGGGGTTAAAATTCAAGCCCCCCCCCCCCAACTTAAATTAACTTTCAGTTCTGATCTGATATGTGTTTTTTCCTAGCTGATGTGCTCAGGTGAGCGCTGTGGCCCCTGGGCCTCTTGTTGATAGAGTTATGCCCTTTTGGATTTAGAAAAATTCCAGTTTGGGAGGAGGGGGGCATAAGTGTTTTAAAAACATCTCTTGTTCCAGTCGTATTTGTTTTGGAAGAAGGTCTTTAGGAAGACCTTTTCTGTTGGCCCGAAACAGTTTTGCATGCCATTATCCCATGAACGTGCAGGTCCCTAAGAAGATCTGGGCCCGTATAAAAGTTATCCATGTACACAGAGAGGTTTGATCCTAACATTGGGGTACAGAGGTCCATGACAACTCTATGTGATAGTCCCTTTTCCTGTTGATTTTCTTTTCCAGTGTACACTTGAAAACTCTGCATGTAGCCTGTCTCACTTTTGGCCATTGTCCATACTTTTATTCCCCATTTGATAATTCAAGAAAAGTCCATAATTACCTTATATGGTAATAACATCAATTTTCACTAATTTAAAGTCCCTATTCTCTGAGCATCCTCATAATATGGTTGGATTGGCACTCAAGGTGCACTGGGACATTGCACTGGGTGCATCCGAATTTAGTAACTTCTTTCCTATGTCCAGGAGTCCCAGACAAAGAACACTCGCGACACACTTTATTTTTGTCATACAGTTTTTTGGGAGTTGAACTATGTTCAATCGCCCATGGTCATCACACATTTTGCATGCGCAGTAATTTGTGTTGATTATATAGAGCCGAAAGCGAGGCTACTGAGTCAACCAATTTACTCCGATGATAACAGAAAACATGCATAAACATCCGCCACAAATAGTTCATGTCATTTTCTCCAGAATTGATCTAATTTTTATAATATGAAATGTAAGTAAATGTAATAATAGAGTAATCTTATTTTGAGTATTAAATTTCTTTCAAAGTAAAACTAAATTATAAAGAACCTCAAAAGTTTTTTTTGGTAATGGAACTCATTTTTAGTGTAGCCTCATCTATAAACACCGAAAGATACGATACTCTACATACTGACGGCAAGCGGTAATTCTACTCTTCCCGATGCCCGACTCCTGACGGTCCCGGATTTTGGATTTTTAGCAATTTCTTTTTTACCGGTGCACAGAATTTATTCTTACTTTTCATGAACATTTTCTTGGTTTAGATAAATTCATTAATGCATAAAAACTTGGAGAAACATGCGTATTTATTACTAAATCAGCAGCATCACCTGCCAAAAGCGGTAAATCTAGTACTCTGTTTTAAATGTTAAAACCAAAAACGAATACCGATGTTTTCGTAGAATCGTGATTAAAAACAACAAAATGAAGTATATATATTTTTTTTAATAATTTTATAATAAAGAAAATCTCATTTACATACCAGATAATTTGTACACACACAAAGTCTCACATCTACCACTGTTTTAATGATTGGTCATTTTAAAAATATATGTTTTTAACTTTGTATTGATTTTTTTCTTCGCAATATTTTGAAAAATCTTAAGTTCTGACGTGTATAATGTTCGTGTAATTGAAATACATTTACATTCACACAGAAATTATAGATAACAAGCCTTGTAGCTCTTAAAAGGATGCTGTTTGGAAATCCACATTTTATCAACATTGTTATTATTCCTGTGAAATTGAAATTTTAATAACACATGGGTAAAGGTGCCAAGGAAAAATATATTACAAATTTGAAGATGAACTAGAGGTACTAAGAGCAATGAATTATATAAATGATCAACCGCCTCTAATATGAATATAATGACAGTGTCCATGTTTTGCAATGGGAAACCCAAAATATGTGTAGGATGAAAAAGTAATAGAAGATGCACAATGGCAATATGTAATAAAGATTCTTTGAAAAATTCAGTCAGTGGGGTAAGAAGAGTTGCGGCCCTTACAGAAATTTCTGATAAGTGACTTATAAGTGATTTATTCTTTTACTTATAAGTTGTTTATTCTGGACTTACACTTCACTGATACATTTTACTTATAAGTGACTTGTAAGTTACTCATTAGGATTTTATATGCAAATGAGCTGCTTGGCCTATAAGTGACTTATAAGCCAGTATTAGCCACTTACGCTTTATACAAGTATAGTCACTTATAAGTGACTATAAGTGACTTATCAGTCAAGCATTAACCCTTCATACTTTATCAAGTATGAGTCATCTATAAGTCACTTATAAGTGAAGTACACCACGACCTGTAAGATCTTAATCTAGAACAGTCTCCTTCTTATCATGCATGGCTTGCATGATATTTTCAAATCTGTTTTTCTTACATATGCATATGTATCTGCACTTAAGATGAAATAATCAAGTTAAAATTTTATGCAAAAAATCTCTTTCATATGACATATTTTTGATGATACAAACTTTACATATTAATTCAGTTTACAACAAGAATGTTGGACAAAAAGGCAACAAGATTTAAGAGGTATGTCTAGTGCACGATGTTTTTTTTTCGATATTATCGACATCGCTGTAAAAATACCAGTCCTCCTAATATCATAACTTACTCAACATGACAATAATTCCTTTGTTTATCTCTCTATATATTAAATTGTTTAATAATATAACGTCAACATCTTGTTAACATTGCCTTCCCCCTTTTCTGTTGTTTACATCGTTCACATCGTCGACATCGCAATGTTGGTCGATATCGAGTCGACATCGTGTCAACATTACCCTTCTTATTTTTCTTGTATACATCGTTCACATCGTCGACATCGCAATGTTGGTCGATATCGAGTCGACATCGTGTCAACATTGCCCCTCTTATTATTCTTTTACATCGTTCACATCGTCGACATCGCAATGTTGTCGATATCGAGTCGACATCGTGTCAACACTGCCCCTCTTATTATTCTTGTTTACATCGTTCACATCGTCGACATCGCAATGTTGGTCGATATCGAGTTGACATCGTGTCAACATTGCACTTCTTATTTTTCTTGTTTACATCGTTCACATCATGGACATCGCAATGTTGGTCGATATCGAGTCGACATCTTGTCAACATTGCCCTTTTTCAAAATCTTGTTTACATTGTTCACAACGTCGACATCGCTGTGTTGTTCGGTAATTGAATTGATGTTGTGTGACATTGCATTATTATTATTTTTTGTTTATATACTTAGTATCCGTGTTTGCCTATATCGAGTCGTCATCATGTCATCATTAAAATTCCTTTGTTGTTCTTATATCTTTGTAAAATCGTTGACAACACCTTTAACGCATAAAATCAAGTTCAGTTCATATTGATAAGGCAATACTAGTACATGTATAATCTGTTTACTTTTTACACATTATCACCAGGGCAAACTTTGACTCTTATGAGTCCACATCAAGTGTACATCAAATATGAAGCATTTCTCTTACATTCTGAAAATGACCTAAAAAACTGATTTCCAACCTTGAAAACAGTGTTTGTCATCTGTACAGTACATGCGAAATAGTTTAAACATTAATTACATCGCGTTGTCAATATACAATGTAGAAATAAAAGCAATGTAGACAATGTAAATGCGATATCGTATCAACATTGTTTACATTGCGATGTCGACGTCGACGATGTCGTCATATAAAAAAAATAAGAATGTAGACGATGTATACGCGATATCGTATCAACATTGTCAGCATTGCGATGTCGACGTCGACGATGTCGTCATGTAGAAATAATAACAATGTAGACGATGTAAACGCGATATCGTATTGACATTGTTTACATTGCGATGTCGACGATGTCGTCATGTAGAAACAATGACAATGTAGACGATGTAAACACGATATCGTATCAACATTGTAAACATTGCGATGTCGACAATATCGAATTGATTAAGGGAACTGGACATGAATGAGATTTAATGACCTTGAGGCTTCTTCAAATTTATGAAATCTGAAAGCAACTGAGTCAATTGAATCAAAATATCAGGCAAATGAAGTTAGAATAAAAAGATGATGTAAATTGAACCTACTTGTTGTACCTGATGTGAAGGCTACTCAAAATAAATCTGAAATCTCCAACAACATCTTCTCAGAGACAATAACTTGGTTTCAAATTCATTGTGCTCATCTCTGCAGAGACAAACTGTCTCATTGGTTAGCTTGAATACCCATAATGCTCCTTGAGAGAAGTCTAGTATAGTGTAAAAATTCTAAGTCCACACTTATTCTGGCTAATACCATACTGATCTTCACTTATAAGTGAGGTATAAGTGAAATATTCACTGATATGTAGCTCATCTTCACTTACAAATGAAGTATTAACGAAATCTGTTCCTCACTTATACTTACTTTCACTCATACTACACTTATAAGTAAATTTCAAGATTTATAAGTGACTTATAAATTGCTAATAAGTGGATTATAAAACAACTTATAAGTTTCTATTAGTTTTTTCTGTAAGGGGGATAAGAGATGGGTATACCTAATGCGTAACAAACAGATGGATGGACATCCCGATTAATAAATACCCTCCTGCTTTTCAAGCAGGGGGTATTAAAAAAAAGGACTTTTGTAGGCAGGCAAGCATTATGGCCCATGCATTTTTTTTTTGCTATTCAATGTCTCTGAATGTCTTTCTCAAGATTGTTGCAACACAAAAAATCTGAAACAGTTGTCTGTATTTGAAATAATATAATAATGTTCACTCACTTAACCTCTCGATCAAAGATTTTATTTTACACCCTGTTCAACTCCCATGAGTACTTTCAGTACTTTGATTGATACTGTGTTCCGTTGCTGTCCCCCACAGTCAAATTCTAGAGCTTCACGACCAGATCTTGTGTCTCCAATCAAGTATTTGAGAATTTCCTCCACAAAATCCTGGAATATTTGCCACCTGTCCTTGCTCATTTCCGGATGGGTATCCTTCGCAATGAAATAGGCATTGTGTGCGGATACTATCATCAAATAGAAAAATATGCGCCGCCACCATTTCTTGGATCTGTGGTGAAGTATATAGTACCCGATCATTTGATCACACAAGTGGACACCTTTCATATATTTCTGGTAATCAGAAAGAAGACAAGGAACTTCCACAATGGTATCAGTGGCTGCCTGGCGGGTCACTTGGCCAGTGTGTTGCGAATCGTGGAAATTTGACAGGACAAGGACTGGCTTGGTATCCTTCCAAACACAGAAAGTGAGGCTGTCATTTTGGTCCACTTTATAGACATGTTTTTCAAGATTGATTCTAGCTGGCAAGAGTTCCTTTGGCAGTCCTTTCCGGTTTGATCTTACAGTACCACAAGCCAAAATTCCACGGACGTGAAGGTCCAGAAGTAATTGAGGACTGGTATAGAAATTGTCCATGTACACATTTAAGTTTGTGCCAAACATTTGTCTACACAGATCCATAACCACTCTGTGTACAAGACCTTTTTCAGTATTATTTTCTTTACCCTTGTAAATCTGGAAATTGTGCATGTATCCTGTGTCACTTTCTGCCATTATCCAGATTTTTACGCCCCACTCGATAGGTTTGGCTGGCAGATATTGTCGGAAGGCAAGTCGTCCCTTGAACTTGATCATGCTTTCATCTATAGTTACATTTTCATGTGGCACATAGAGTTCCTTTAACTTTGTGTTAAGAAATTCAATAAACCATCTTATTTTCCATAATTTGTCAGGTTGTTGAGGCTGTTCTTCATTGTTTTGAAGATGTAGGTACCTCCAGATTTGGGTAAATCTATCCCTGGGCATAACTTTGCCAAACTGTGTGGTGAACATCCACTTGGACGATCTCCAATAATCGTTTTTTGTAGGTAATCTCATTATTCCCATGGCAAAGCAAAGTCCAATGAATGCTTTCAAATCTGCTTTGGTGACTGGTGTCCATTTTAGGGCATATGGGGGTGGTAGATTTTTGGTCCGTTTTTAGCTCTACTGGTCAGAGACCAGAAGAGCTTATGCGATAGTAATGCGTCCGTCGTCCGTCCGTCTGTCTGTCTGTCTGTCTGTCCGTCTGTAAACAATTTTTCAAAATGCTACTCCTCCTACAGTTTTGGTCTGATTTCAATATAACTTGGCACACAAGTAGAACACACTAAGATACATAGTTCTTTATATCGGTTTTTGTCTCGCCTGCGACGAATGTCGCGAAGCGAGACATAGCGACCATAGATTCCGTCGTCGTCGTCGTCGTCGTCGGCGTCCAACTTTTGGTTAACCCAAATGTCAAAGTTTTATAAACTGCAATAACTTTCTCAAATTTTATTCAGTCTTCTTGAAATTTGGACACAATATTCAGTATGGATAAAAATTTATATCCCAAGTATGATTTTGAAAAAAAAAATTCAAATTTTTCCGTATTTTTTCCTTAAGTTGGACTTAGTTTTTTCATGATAATTTATGGTGAAGACCTATATTCCAGCAACTATAAGTTATAGGGATATGATAATTAGTCAGTGGATACATCATGGGTAACCACAAACGTCAGTACCAGAATTAGGTCATCTTGACCTACATTTTTCTGCATGAGTGACTTTGGTTAAATTTTTGGTGGAGGTCCATATCTCAGCATCTATAACTTATAATGGCATGATGATTTGTCATTGTACAGGTTATAAGTAACCAACAACATCAGTACCAGAATTAGGTCATTTTGACCTACATTTTTCTGCATGAATGACTTTGGTTAAATTGATAATGGAGGTTCATATTTCAGCAACTATAACTTATAGTGGCATGATAGTTAGTCAGTGGATACATCATGGGTAACCACAAACGCCTGTACCAGAATTAGGTCATCTTGACCTACATTTTTCCGCATGAGTGACTTTGCATAAATTTATGGTGGAGGTCCATATCTCAGCAACTATAACTTATAGTGGCATGATAATTTGTCAGTGGATACATCATGGGTAACCACAAACGCCTGTACCAGAATTAGGTCATCTTGACCTACATTTTTCCGCATGAGTGACTTTGCATAAATTTATGGTGGAGGTCCATATCTCAGCAACTATAACTTATAGTGGCATGATAATTTGTCAGTCTACACATCATGGGTAACCAACAATATCAGTACCATAATTAGGTAATCTTCACCTACATTTTCTGCATGAATGACTTGATACATATACAGTGGATTTGATTTCAAAATGCAAGTTCAAATTATTGCGACTCATAACACGTTGCAATATTCGCAATAATAAAAACATCACAATAATTTGTGAATTTACAGGGTATATGTATATATATATAAATGCCAATATAATCGCCAAGGGATTAGATATTAAGTCAGCTGTTCCATTTCTTTATTATTGTATTTTTGAGTTATTCCTTCTGAAATGTCAATAAATGCTTCAGTTTATCAGACAATCATTTCTTACTAACCACAGCGACAGCAGGCGAGACACAGGGTTGCGGGCAACCCTTACGTACTTTTTGATTTCGATGAACGGTGTTGACGTGGTTCTAAAAATAGAAATTTCTGTGAAATTCTTTCAAAATGCTACTCCTCCTACAGTTTTGGTCTGATTTCAATATAACTTAGCACAAAAGTAGACTACACTAAGATACATAATTCTGTGATCGGTTTTTGTTTCGATGAACGGTGTTGCCGTGGTTACTAAAAATAGAAATTTCTGTGAAATTCTTTCAAAATGCTACTCCTCCTACAGTTTTGGTCTGATTTCAATATAAAGTAGCACACAAGTAGACTACACTAAGATACATAATTCTGTGTATCGGTTTTTGATTTTTGAATGGTGTTTCCAGGGTTACTAAAAATAGAAATTTCTGTGAAATTCTTTCAAAATGCTCAAATACAGTTTTTAAATTTCAATATAACTTGGCACACAAGTAGAACACACTAAGGTACATAAATCTGTTTATCAGTTTTTGATTTCGTGAACTGTGTTGACGTGGTTACTAAAAATAGAAATTTCTGTTAAATACTCTCAAAATGCTACTCCAAATGATTTTTATACTGTTATAATATAATGTGGCATGCAAGTAGACTACACTAAAACATAAAGAGAGATTGCTGTTGAAAAGTTATATTCCCAACAGCTTAAGTACTTTTCTCTTCTTTTGCTATAAGTACAAACCGAATTAAGTGACAGAGACTTCGTGTATAATTAAGGTGTTTTAAACTTAAAGTTTATCCCACATTTCATTGGTCCAAATCAGTTAAAAATATTGAACAGCAGAAGCTTCTTTGGATGCTCTATTGTGGAACCGCCTGCCTTTTTGTAGCATGGAGGAACGCGGCCAGTAAAATTCTTGGTTACCCAGCGATTTTAACCTCCCCTTCTTAAATCTTGAATGAAATTATTCAAAATCCAGTCACATTTACATCGCCTTGTTGTACTTCTCTTTCTATTTTCCTAATACATCTCCATTCTCTTCATTTTCTTCTCCTACATCGTCATTATCTGCCTCAATATCACTTCCATCACAGAACTCCACATCTCTCGTATATTTTGTTTGCATTTAGTTTTCAAGCTTCGGTTTCTTTGTTTTAATGGGGATTTTCCCCTCATAAATAGATATCTAGTTTCACTATACAATGCACATGGGCAGTGGAAATATATAAAACTTTTGTTGAATTAAATTTTCTTTCATATCCTTGTTTCTATAATCATTCGATTCTTAACTTTTACACACTGTAGCAATGTAAATTACTAACAAAAAACAAAACAAAAACCAACAACCTTATTTTAATGCAGATATCTTATTTTGCATTTTTCTTCCGGTTTGCATAACTTCAACAAAGGTATGAAAGTATTCGATCCTTCCTTATTTAATATTGCAATATACCGATATACTCGATGAGGCTGCACTCCCCTTCTTTAATTTGAAATCGATGTTGTAATCCCCTATTAACCTTATGTAAAATTGTCCCGTCTTCTTTCTTTTGGAACATACCATTATATCCTTAGGTCACTCTCTTTCATGGCGACAAAATCACAGAGTCTGACACATCTTTTTATATATTTGGACTTCTCTCTTTTACTTAAGCAAGACATTAATGGTAATCTAACAACCAAGTCTCCATGCTCCATTAGTGGCATAACTTTAGAGAGTGCTAAAGGCACTTCCCTTGAGATGTGCAGGAGTTACCTTCATGGCATGGGCATATGGATGTTATATGACTCCTGCATACATTCGATTAGCAAAAAATGCTAACTGTAGATGAATTAATTTGAATGATATAAAAAGAATTTACTGAAGTCAATTGATGAAAAAAATATAGCATATATATTTTAAAATCATCATTTTCAGTTCTGTGGTCGATACAATGATGTCAGCAAATACATTTTTCATTGAGTCAAATGCTGACTGACGTTTTTCATCCTAATTGTTAGTCCATCATTTAAACACTGAATTGACGATGTGCTTTTCCCTTTATTTCCATAGGCCGGATTGCACACATGGGGGTATGACCGTCACACAACCTGTTGAAATTATAAATGTAGCCGTGTTATGATTTATTACATATATAATAAGATTTACTGGATACAATGATATAAAATTTATAGCATTACATGATTTTAGAACGCAGTTAGTATTTGTATGTAAAATAAAACAAAACTAAAGTAACCTCTTTCTCATCTTAAAATTTAAATATAACCTTTGGGTAAATTTGTGAGGATTTCTTACTAGGGGTCAGATACCACTTCTATGAAAAAGTCAATCAACTGATGTGCTAGATTCATCTCTAGTTTTAAAATAGCTGGTCTATAACTCTGATTTTTTTTTTTTCACTATACGAGCCGAACATCGGGCGTTTCTGATCAAAATTTGTCCGTTGTCTGATGGTGGCGAAATTTCTAGATATAAAGCACTAAAAATACGATGAGTACTACTGTCATGAAAAAATGAGTTAATTGAGTACCATCTCTAGTTTACAATGAATGAACCCCTTTTATACCCCTATATTGTATTACTATCAATAATCTTGGGCTAGGGACATCGAATCAAAATATTCCATCAAATTTTCAGGGTGGGACACTAGGGGTCAGATACCACTTCTACATTACAATAAATGGTGATGGTACCATCTCAGTTCCATATATAGTCCCCCAGTGTTTACCCCATATATTGTAATACTATCTAATAAACCTGCTTTTTTCTATTGCCATATTCCTATCTTCTCTTCCTGGAGTGGTGGTTGTGTTCAAACATTCTTTGAAATAGTCATTGTATTTCCCAGGAGTTCCACTTGCTGTGTTACCACTGGTCCTGGGAAAACCTTCCATATTGGATTTGTTTGGCATTCCAATTGTAAAGGGGCTTTCCTCTTTCAAGCTTTCCAACAATATCCCCTAATCCAAAGTATTTGAAATTTTGACTTTGGGGCACTAGGGGTCAGATACCACTTCTACGAAAAAATCTTTGAGATGTTCAAAATTCTTTTTTAGATGTTCCCCCAGTTTTTACCCCTATATTGTAATAAAGTCATCTTTATTTCCTCGTCTTTTGGACATCATATGTCCACTACCATGGGTTTTAAATTTTGAGGGTGGGGCACTAGGGGTCAGATACTACTTCTATCTCAAAAGTTGGATGTCCATCTCTGTTGTAGGCTTGTGCCCTGCAGATGACCATGAATAATTCATGATTTTTCTTGAATTATTCATGAATTTTATTCATGAAATACTATATACAGGGTTATTTTGAGCCCCGTAAATTTTTCCCCTTTTACCCTTGCAGACAATTTTGCCCCGTTTTAAATTCGCCTGGTCATAGTTTTATTTGAGAAATTATGGTCACCCATTTAATTTCGCTCCTATATTGTAATACTAAATTAGCTAAGGGTAGGACGA